AAAAAATGCTGGGTATGGTAGAGCACAGCTGTAATCTCAGTACTGGGGAGGCTGAGGCAGAGGATTGCCTCAAGTTCCAGGCCATTTTGGGGTACAAAACAAAATCCTGCCTGAAATAAATAAATAAATTTTAAAAAGACTGTGTTAGCTGAGCGTAGTAGCACATGGCTATTATCCTATCACTTAGGGAGGCTGAGGCAAGGGGATCTAAATTCAAGCCCTGCCTGGAGAATTTAGTGAAAACTTGTCTCAAAATAAAATAAAAGAAAAAGGTTTGCGGATGTGCTTCACTGGGAGAACATTCACAGTCACGGGTCAAGTGGGAGATGGGCCTGGATTTCATCTCTCCCTGGCATCCCCAAAAAAGTTTTTACATTTCCTAAGCAAGATGTCACTCAAAAAGTTTCTCATTTGTTGCCTCCAGAATATCTATACTTAGGAAAAGCTCCCGACATTCACAGGTTAGGCTCCCCCAGAGAGTCCTAGCCCTGGGCAGGAGGAGGAACACCCTCCCATCAGCAGGAGGGCTTTGCTTATGTCAGCTAGGGGGGCACCAGAATGTGCTGGGTTCATTACCTGTTTATAGACAAATCCTGAGCCCAAGAGACCAGGGACCTGCTCACAGGGCTGACATCCAGGGCCATGTGCAGCCACCATGCTTAGTGAGCTTTTGGGGTCCTGTCTCAGGGAATGCACACAAGGCAGCAGTCAGCCTCCCTCCCAGCGGAGGCCTGGTCAGACTCACCCGAAGCTGGCTGTATCCTGCTGCCTCTTCTGTCCTGGCCAAACAGGGCCAGGCCTGCGTTCTCCAGCCATGTCTAAATCTACAGAGAGAACAAGAGATGGGACAGAGGTGAGGGGACAAAGAAAGGGGTGCAGGGGAAATCACAAAGGCATACAGGGCCCTGGCCTACTCCTGAGCTCGGGGTAGGCAGAGTTTCTGTCCCTTTGATGGACAGCCTTGCCCGGCCTCTGATGGACCCAGGTCATTCTACCTAGGACTGGGCTAGGGGTCATTCTAGAGGTATCACCTAAAGAAGGAGAAAAATGATCCTTTTGACACATTTCAAAACAAAGATACCCCATAGCCATTCCTTTAGGCCTGAACCCACAATCAAAATCACCCCATTGCCCAGCTCTGGAATTTGGAGTGCTACTATCAACAGCGAGAAAAGGGGCTACCTGGGTGGATCCTTGTGTGCTCTGAGCAGACAGACAGCTCCAGTCTGGGTTAATTCTCGAGTATCCTCCTGCTGCCTGCCCGGGATGGGCAGACAGTGTGTGGCTGGCTGCCCGTGCTGGCCTGCCCCGCTGCCAGGCCCACGCCCCACACCTGGCCCTGTGCTAAGCCTGTGCTGGCTGCCACTGCTGCTGAAAGAGCCAGAATGACTGGGAAGGAGAAACAAAGTGAGCCTTTTCTACAAAACAGTCTCAAGTTCACACAAGTGGGACCCTCAGAGGAACAACCTCCCTGACTCCAGACTCAGGTTATTTACCATGAAGTCCCGGAATGAGAAGGAACCTCAGATACAAGCTGCGACATTCACACTGCCACCCTGTCTGGTTCAAGTACTCAAAGGGCTCCGCTTATGCCCCAACCCTTGGTCAATTAGAGGCCGGCAGTGTTTTCTAAAGTCCTGTTAAAGTGAATTTGACATATTTGAAATTTAAATTACAATGTTTATGGTAGAACTCATGGTTACCAGTTAGGCATACTAGCTAACTGTTAGCAGGAAGATTTTTTTTTCTTTTTTTAAAAAAATATTCCCTTTTTCTTTTATTTATGTGTGCATGCGTGTGTGTGTGTGTGTGTGTGTGTGTGTGTGTGGCCAGCTCAGCCCACCAGGGGGCGGGGCTGGCTTGCATGTGGTGCTGGGGGATTGAACCGTGGCCCCTGTGCTTTAGCTAAGTTTGTTCTAAGTAGGTGCTTTAGACCACTGAGCCATCTCACCAGCCCAGGAACATTTTCTTTAAAAGAAAATACAGTCAAGTGTAGCAGTGCCCATCTATAATTCTAGCACTCTGGGAAGCTGAAGCAAGAGGATTGCAGATTTAGGCTGGGCAATTATTAAGATCTTAACTCAAAATAAAAATTTTAAGAAGGGATTGGATGTTGTTCAGGACAAACTTGGGAGGAGGGTGCTGAGGCCCCAGGGCTTCCCTTGCCATCTGGGTGGAGATGAGCTCTGGGGGAGATGCTTGGCCTCAGACCAGATTCTCTTGAGAAGGGAGAAAGCATAGCTGCCCCCTTCCTCTTTTCCTCCTCCCCTTCCTGCCCCCTTCCTCTTCTTCCTGCAGCAATATTTGAGGTCATATTTGGGGCAGAGAGGAGCTTCCTGGTTGCTAGTGGAACCAGGAGTTGACTCAAAAGGCAACCATGAGTCAGGCGCCTTGGCATCCTGGCTCCAATTGGTACTGCTCTTCTCTGGAACCCCTGGTATGCAATGAGGCAAGAATAGGTAGGACCCCATTGATGGATGCAGGGCAGGCTTTGTGTGTGTGCACAAAGTGTGATCTAGTTGCAACTCTGCAGGGAACAGAAGAAATACAAGAAGCATGGCTTTCAGGTTCTAGGAATCCAAAACACACATAAGTAGCATATGCAAGGCCCAAGAGTACTTTCTCCGGGGGTTCTGGGAGTTGAGCCAGGGCCAGGTCCTTTGTTTTGTTTGCTTGAGACAGGGTCTCACTGTGTAGTTCAGGTTATTTATTTATTTGGTACAGGGTCTCACTATGCAGCCCAGACTCATAGTGATCCTCCTGTCTCAATTACAGGCATGGCCACTATGTATGGTTTTGGTGGCCGGCACAGCATGGCACCAGGGATGGAACCTGGGTCCTTGTGCTGCCAGGCAGTCGCTTACACTGCCAAGCTATCTCCCCATCCCAGATCAGGTTAGTTTTAAATTCACTATGTAGTCCTGGTTGGCCTTGAACACACAGCTATCCTCCTGCTTCAGCCTCTTGAATGCTGCGATTAGAAGGGTGCCCACCACACCTGGCAACTCCAACCCCTCTTTAAAGGTGTTTTGTTTTAAATTGGGCATAATGCTTAGCTGCTCAGATAGGCCTCAAACTTGTGATCCTCCTCTCTCAGCCTCCCAAGGTTCTGAGCTTATAGGCCCACCCATCAAACAATTCTTGTTTTATGCCTTTTTTTTTTTTTATTCACCTGCATCTTAGAGCTATGTGGCTTCAAAGCCAGAAAGCAGTTGAAGCCCACTCCAGGAAAGACTGCAAAGTCGGGCAACTCCGCCAGCTGTGCTATACCATGGGCACGTGGTCCTTGCACCAGCACTCTCCATGCAAGAGGACAGCTCCGCGCTGGGGACAGGGTGGGGAACCCACCACTGTTCCAGCCCCTTCGCTGGCTCAAGGCAGGGCAGGGAGCAGCTGCCCAGTGGATGTCAGCTCATGAGGTAGATTAACCGTCATAGAGGCTGGGTGCAGGGCTTTGCTCCACAGTCACGGCTCACCATGGCCCCAGGAGGACACCCTCTTTCCTATCAGCTGTGCTGCAGGACTGTGCACAACAGGAGTGGTACCTGAGTGAAAGGGAGTCATGATGGGTGATAGCAGATGTCACGCAGACAGGAGGTAAGCTTCCAGGTGGAAGAAAGCAGAAGGAAACAGAAGCATCAAGCCAATGTATGAACAAGAGTCGGAAAGAAGTGGAAAGAGGTAGACATGTCCAACAACTGGTGCCCACAGTTCACCAACCTGACTCCCAGACATATTCCCCTGAATTTCTCAAAGTAGTTTACCTATTTCTACAGTGTTCCCTGGAAGAAAGGAAACGGTAGATCATTTCCAATTTTTTTGTTGTTGTTGTGGAACCAGGGATTGTGCTTGGAATCAGGCCCTTGCGCTTGCCAGGGAAGCGCTTATTCCACTGAGCCATCTCCCCGGCCCCCTGCTCATTTTCAATAGTAAAGGCTGTGAGCCGGAGTTAACAGTGAGGTACTGGCTCTTCAATCAGAGCCACAGGCCTGCTTTGAATTAAAGCTGACGAAGGAGAGAAGCATTGACCAGTCTTTGGTAGCAGCGGCAGCAGCTACATCCAGCTTTCAAAGCTGGTGACGTCCCTGCCCTACTTCAGCAGTCCTTCAACTGTGCCCAGCAGGCACGGGGCCTTCCCCAGGCCAGCTCTGCTGTGTGATCTCCTCCAGATCCGATTCTCCAGCACTTTAAGAGCTTCTGAGAGCCAAGTAGCTTCCACAAATTTACTTCTACCTAGAGTTGCCAGAGTTAGTTTCTTTGGCTTAAAAGTAAGAATTTAGATTAATATAAAAATAGGGCCAGCAATGAATGGAACAAGAAGCCATGACGGAAACAAGGGCATCCTAAGGTTACTGTAAGTGGCCAGAGGCCCGTGAATATGCAGCTAGTATTAAGGAGTGGGAATCTAGCACCCTATGACTTGCCGTGGCGAGACAGTTAATCCTGTGCTCCCCTAGAACAAAGCACTGTCAAAGGCAGGGCTTTGAGGGACTTAGCGGCTCCTTCCATAAAAGAGTACAAAAGCATATACCGAAGTGAAGGTCTTTTTGAGCTGGACATGTCAGCACATGCCTGTAATCCTGGCATTCTGGGAGGCTGAGTCAGAAGGATCACAAGTTTGATCCCAGCCTGGACAATGTAGCAACTTACTGAGACCCTGTCTCAAAATGAAAAATATATTTGTTGGCAGGGTCAAAGTGTTCATTATGGCATGGGAAGGCAATGCCCAGTGGACGCCTCCATCTCTAGGCACCGCAAGCTGCAGAGCTAGGATTCGCTCCATGCACGGCCTGCAGGGACCACTTCCCAAGTGCACCACAAGGCAGCCCCACAGGTGTGACGAAAACATGTTTACATTCATGTTTATATTTGCTCTTTAAAGTGTTTGTCTTTTTCGTAATGTACATAATATTTTACTGTTGTACTACATGGAGACAGTTCATAAGTAATACATCAAAACATACTGGAAGCACAAGCTCAAGTTTAATTTTTAAATTTTTTTTCCCCATAGTTTTTACAGATAGAGTTTTGGAACTAAAACATACAAAAAGTGAAACCAATCACCAGATTTATGTTCAAGAGAGTGTTAGGAAAAAAATTGCTGGCCACATTTTTCTCAGCAGCTCTCAGGAGGCTGAAGCCATAGGGTAGGAGAACTTCAAGTTTGAGACCAGCCTGAACTACATTTCAAGATCGGGTTTTAAAAAAAAAAAAAAAAAAAGCAAAAGAAAAAGAAGTTTTAAATTTTATTAGCGCACTTCCAACACAAGAGGGAGCTGGAAGGCCCCCTAAGCAATCCTCTTCCCAGTTTCGTGAGAGTCTCACAAAGTTCCTTCCTTCCGTGAGTAGTTACACTTTCTACTTAAGATTGACCGCACCCAGCTCCCTCTTCCTGTGGAAGTTAAAGGGTTCCTGCATAAGAAAGTTTCCTCCGTAGTGGAGGTGCCGGGGATTGAACCCGGGGCCTCGTGCATGCTAAGCACGCGCTCTACCACTGAGCTACACCCCCTGCTGGAGGCTCCTTACGAACCAGATCGATATTCTCTCATCACTTCCTCACTGCAACAACAAAGCATCACTGACGTTTACAGACTTTGAGGAAAATACGCTGGCTCAGAAGAGTTTACCAGATTTTAAAAAAACAAACAAACAAACAAACAAACAAAAAAAAACAAATTCCCCAGATAAAACCACACAGAGATAGACATACGGTGGGTCAGGGATCGTAAAATTTCCAGAACTTCTTTCGGGGATCTTGCATGAGGTGTACAATCTTTCTGTATCGCTAATAATCACTTAGCCAATGCCTGCCTGATCGCCTACACTGTATTTTCTCCTAGAATGGCCACCCAAATCCAGATAGAAAGGTCAGGCGCGCTGAGGCGAAGGAACGCCTCTGGGACCACAGAGGTGACCCCTCTGCGCCGGCGGAGGCCGCCGTCCCGCACCCCGCGTCCGCACCTGTGCGGCCCCGGGAGGAGACCCCTCCGTACAGCCCACCGCTCCCCTGTGGGCGGGTCTCGGGCCCTCGGGCCGTCTCCCCCGCCTTCCGCTGACGCGTTGGGCTTCCACTCTCCTCTCCGCGGCGGCCAAGCTGCGCCCCTGCCACCTGCGGGGAGCCCACCCAGCGACCTGCCACCGTCCGCACGGCCGGCGGAAGGACTTCGGTCAGGTGACAAAGGAGCCCGCGCCGCGCAGAGAGCGAGTCAGGGGCCGAGTCCCCAGGGAGCCGGGCACCCGAAGCAGAGTGGGCTTGCGGGGGGCCGGGGGCGGGTCGGGGGACCCGCGGCGCGGTGCTGCGGGTGGGGGCGGGGCCTGGATGGAGGGGCGCGGCCTCAGCTAGGATTTTGGGGTGGGCGGGACCTTGCTCGTACAGGACGCACGCACCCGCCAGGGGTATTGGGTCCGCTGCACGTGCGGAAGGTGGTCCGGCCTCTGGGCTTTAATTCTGTCTTGACTGTCGGGTCTCTCGGTTAGGAGTGGTTGCAGATGCTGGGAATATCGGTGTGAACGCCCGCTTACGCCCGCGCTCTGAACCTAGGCACTACAGAGCTTGCTGCATGGCCGGGGTTCAACGGCTGAACCATGGGGGGAATAATTAACTGATAGGCTGCCTAGCTTTGATTGCTGTGTTACCAGGGGCAAATTACTCAACCTGTCTGTGTCTCCATTTCTTCAGCCACAATGGGAGTAGTAATACTCCCATTTGAGGTTCAAGAGTTCAATCCCAGACTGAGGTGAGACTCTCTCAAAAAGTTATGAAAAAGAGGGGCTGGTGAGGTGGCTCAGCGGTCTAAAGCACCTACTTAGAACAAGCTTCGCAAAGCACAGGGACCACGGTTCAATCCCCCAGCACCACATGCCAGCCAGCCCCGCCCCCTGGTGGGTTGAGCTGGCCACACATACACACACAATAAATAAAATTTTTTTAAAAAGTTATGAAAAAGAAAGTGGGGACACTAGGGTTGTAATACTCTTTTCTCAAGGAGGATGTGAGTGTTTAACTACTTACCAGTCCGATTATTTAAATACACGACTGAACACTGCGTATTTTAAAATTTGTATAATATACTAGGATGTATAAAAATGACAATTTTATCAAATTTATTCAATACAATAATCGACTGGTTGAAATGACACCTGTCCAAGCAAAGCATGGGAATCAGTTTGTGGAGGATCACCTGGAAAACTCTTATGGAAAGAAGAGCAGTCATGGACATTTTGGCTGAGCCTGACCCTATTTCCTTGTGTTGGTGTGTACAGAGCTGGCTAGGACTTTTCCTTATCCCTTCAGTTGGCTTTAAGCAATGTGTACTAGTCTAGCTGAGGTGCTGGTGGTAGTCTTTGAAGATGGCACATGTGTTTCCCCGGTTATCCTCACTTGCTGCTGTTTAACATGAGCTGGTCAAGACAGGATGAAGAGCCAATAATCCACGCTGTTGACTAGGATCAAGTCTCAAGCTAGGCTATGACTTCCTGGGGCTTGAAAGATTACACATCAGAGCTGAAGCACTCTCACTGTACCATCAGCTCTGCTCTGCAAAAGCCCCCCAACAGTGGAGGCTGGACAAGAGTCTGGTTTGGGGACTGGGGAGATAGCTCAACAGCACTACACCTGCCTGACAGTTGCAAGGTGGTGAGTTCAATTCCCAATTCAAAAGGAAAAAGAAAAAAAGAAAAAAGAAAAAACCCAGGGGTCCGGGGAGATGGCTCAGTGGAATGAGCGCTTCCCTGGCAAGATCAAGGACCTGAGAATTCAATCCCTGTTTCTGGAAAAAAAAAAAAAAAAAGCCTGGTCTTCCAAGTTAGCCTGGAAGCTCCCAGACGTTAAGCAGGAAAGAGGAGGGACAAAGTGAGTAGCAGACACAGGACCATTCTGGCCACCTGAATTCTCTCCGAAAGACCAGTTGCAGATACTATGGTGGTACACACCTGTAATTCCGGCGCTGAGGAGGCTGAGACAGGAGGTTCAAGAGTTCAGCCCCAGACTGGGGAGGTTAGTGAGACTCTCTCAAAAAGTTAAGAAAAAGAAAGTGGGGACACTAGGGTTGTAGCTCTGTGCAAAGGCTCTGGACTTAGTCCCCAGGGTTATGGGGGAAAAAAGAGCACTCGGAAGTCTGGCTGGTTGATAACTTAGTTTAATCCTTGTGGGTGCACCTGGTGGGCGTCTCTGAGAGTTTGGCCCTTCCAACTGCAGCCTCTCACTTTTGCTGTAGCACATGGAAGCCCATCTTCCCAATTGAAGAGGCAAATCAAGGCCTCCTGGCTGTCCTTTTGCCAAGCCAGCTTCTTCTCCTTTCCACCCTGGCCTCATCACCACTCTGCCCAACTTCCTGCAAGATCTGAGATCTCCGGATGTTTGGCATGCAGCCCCAGCTGGCTGTGGTTTTGCCCAGGTGAGCAGCCAGGCAAGCAGGGCTGGTGCATCCAGGGACTGCCAGGAGAGCTGCCTGGCCAGGCTCAGGGCCCTGGGTCCCACCGGGAAATGTGCTCCTGAGCTGAAAAGAAAGCAGAACAGGGTGGCGCTTAGTGGCAGCCTAGGCAGTCCTAGGATGGCATCTGTACTGCCTCAGTCTGAAAGTACCCATGGCTGTGATCCTATGTGGATTCCAAACCCTGCTAGCAGATGCTGCTGGTAACTGGTGCCAGGCCAGATGTCATCTCTGGCCTCCCTCATAGCTCACTGGTCTCTAGAGAATCATGGAATATGAAGGGACTAGACAGGAGTCCAGGTGACAGGGTTCATAATAGAAGAGAGGGATCTTTGAGAAATCCCCATCAAGATGTGGCTGCAGTCTTGCCCTCCGTGGACTACTCCATTATGCAGTGCTGAGCCCTCTGGGCCTCAGACACTTGCAGGTCTAAGGTCCTAAGCAGGACATCATCTGTGGCCCTGTGTATCCAAATGCACTTGGTGCCTGTGACTTGGACATCTTAGAGGCCTGGAGCAGACTAACAGTGCCCCAGGGAACAGGAACCTGAGGAGGAGAACCAAGGGAGGGCACTCACCAAACTGGCAGATGTAACGGTTTCGAGTTTTACAGCGTTGGTCATTCCAGTTGAAGGCAGATGATGCCTGCAGCTCTACACAGTTGCCAAACCTGGGGTCCAGGGTAGGGGTGCACCGGGTGGTGGGACAAAATTAGGAGTCCAGGTGTGTCTAGGTGACTAGCCTGTTGGGCCATCTGCATCTACCGGCTCCACCCCCAAGCTGCTTCTGGGGCACTGCAGCTGTTCTCAGGGAAGCCAGGCAGTATCACCAAATCCCTCACCATGGCAGTGCTCAGCCACACAAGCCAGTGGGGAGGGCCTGGGACAAAGAGGGTCACCTCCTTCTGTCTCAGCAGAAGAGATGCCAGGAGCCTGATCAGGCCTGGCTGCCAGCGAGGAGGGCTGGGGAGATATTTGGAGCCCCTGGTGACCATGCAGCCTCTCCTCCTCCCTTACCACCTGTGCCCTGGGCATTCTTGGGCTTCACAAATCAGGACAAAGCCACATAACTGGAAATTCCTTGGTATAGGACAGCAGATGGATGATTGTATGCATGAAGGATGCAGGGACAGACAGCTGCAGAGTGCTGGAGTCAGTGTCTTGAGGCAGGAAGAGGGCAGGTAGGCTGGCCGAGGGAGGGGCTAGTGGGTGGCAGGTAGAGGGACAGCAGGGGGGATGATAGGGATAGGTAGATGGATGTGACCTTCTTAGGTTCCCTCTCTCTCTTGTGATGTGCCTTCTCCCTCACTCAGCCCTGGGCCCGCATCAGGTATACCCTGAGTTCCCTGGCACCTGGAAAGTAAGGGTCAGGCTTCGGAGGTTTTTTTGGTGGTATCTGAAGGCTCAGCCAAGCAAACTCAAGAGAGAAAGCAGCCTGGGAGAGGGTGGCCACCCCAGACTCACCTGTGGTTGTCAGGCTGACCGAAGGCAAAACTGGTGAAAGACTGGTGCTCCCCTGTGGTCCAGCGGAAGGAGTCCTTTGCCATCTTGTAGGTGAGCCCTGAGCGGGTAGCCAACGTTGCCCACCACCTGAAAGCCCTGGGCCCATGCAGACCCTGAGCCCAGGATCCCACCTCCTAATGCCTTTTGTGTCCAGCTCCACCCCTACCTTCAGCCTTGTCCTGGGAAGAGGTTGGCAGCCTGACTATTGGCCCCACTCCAGGTGCCAAGCTCTCTCCACACCGCTTTGTGCTGCTAGTTGTATGGGGCATCAAGGCCCACACTCATTGTCCCCCATGCAGCCCCACTCACCAATCCAGAAGTTCCTGGTCTCAAAGTCACTGTCGGTCACCTCGTTGGTGGTCTCCAGGCGGCCCAGGTAGAAGGCCAAGATGTCCTGCACTTTCTGGCTCTTAATCTGGGCTAGCGCCCCACCCTTTCCCTGTAAGCCCAACCAAGTCATGCTGGCAGGGACCCAAAGCTTAAGCCAGTCCTTCCTGCCCATCAGGACACCCCACCCCACCATGGCAGTGGACCCCACGTGTGTGTATGTGTGTGTGTGGGAAAAAAAGTTGGCTGTCTTCACACCCAACCCCAACATCCTCCAGCCTCTGGGACTGGGGTCTCCCTTGTCCTCCCCAGTTTCTCCCCTTTCTCTGAACAGAGGCCCAGATGATAGCCCGGAGGCTCAGGCAGGGTTCCACCTCAAGAGGGTTTTGTCACGGCTGCACAGTATCTGAAATATCCACTACTTGAATTGATTGCTGCCCTGACCTGACTGGGCAAGCAGCCACTGGAGCTGAGCCAGGACAGCTCCTTAGATATGGGGTTTTGTCCCTGGGCCCCCCATGTCCTTGAGTGACCTCCTGGCTTCTATGAGCCTCCGAGTCTGTGACTTCTGCTTTGTGCTAATGAAACGAGGAGACATTGAAGGGTCACTCCATGACCACCCTCATGTGAGATCCTGGAGTCCCTTGGAAGGCAAGGCCCGGGCTCAACTGTCACCTGGCATTTAATCTTGGCTCCATAATAGGTGTCTGCCTCCGAAGACACAGTGAAACAGTCCCCATCGATCCTCAGGTCACAGGTATGGAAAGGAAAGTGCACCTTGGCTGGAGTGGAGGTGGGGGAGGTGGAGGTGGGGGAGTTGAACTCCTATGCCACCCTCAGAATCGCCACTGCCGCACACCCTTTCAGGGAGCTAAACTCAAGGTACCCCTTCCTCTGGCCACCTGCTGCCAGCTAGAAATGGACAGGGGTGAGTGTTGTGCTGGTAAATGTATATCGTGAGCTCTCTGGCTGGAAAAAAAAGAGCCACAGCTTGTAGCACTTGCCAGTTTCAGTGGAGTAAATGCCCCCCCATGGTCAGTTTCAAGCTACCAATAGGATGTCACTGAGCGGGAAGTAAGGAACGGATGCACACAGTGGGCTCCCTCAGGCTGGGAGAGTGAGGTCCAGCACCCTACTGCAGGGGGTCCCGGCAGGAGCCTAGGTGGGGACTCACTGGCACACTGGGCTCCGCTGTAGCCCACGTCGCAGACACAGGAGCACTCCTCTTCCCGGAAGTGGCCGTGTATGCACTGCACGCTGCACCTCACTGGCACAATGGAGATAGGTAAAAGGGCTCAGCCTTGAACATTCAGGGATGCCAACCCTGGCAAAAACACCTCCAAACAGGGCTTCTAAGTACTGCCACACTTGGCTTGTTTGGTCTGAGTCTCATTGTGAAAAGAAGCAAGTTGGGGTTTGGGAGGTGACTAGCCCATGCCCATAGAGTGGGGAGCAGGAAAGTGGAGCAAGAATCCACGCCCAGGTGGCACACCCTTATAATCCTAGCACTTGGAAGGCTGAGGCAGGAGGATTGCTCAGAGTTTGAGGTCAGCCTGGTCTACAGAGCAAGACCCTGTCTCAAAGACAAAAACAAAAAAGACGCTACTCCTACTTCTTAATTCCATCCTCTTCCCAAGTCCCATAGACTAAGAGGCCAAATCTGATTCCATTTTGAGTCTCCTGCAAAGCTCAGGATATGGTAGAGAGTTGGGGCTCAGTGAGTGCTTATTGGATGAAAGCATGGAATGCCCGAGCCAGGCAAGTATAGACGCCCTTTAAATAAAAAAAAATTAAAAAAAAAAAGGGCTGGTGAGATGGCTCAGTGGTCTAAATCACCTACTTAGAACAAGCTTAGCAAAGCACAGGGACCGCGGTTCAATCCCCCAGCACCACATGCCAGCCAGCCCCGCCCCCTGGTGGGCTGAGCTGGCCACACACACACACACACACACACACCCACACACAAATAAATAAATAAAAATTAAAAAAAAAAAAGTATACACGCCCTTGCTCACCTCCTTCTACACCCTCACCTTGGCAGTATCTGCCGGTATAGCCAGGAGGACAGTGGCAGTGGCAGGTGCTAATGTTGAGATGGCCATGGTTCCGGCAGCTCATGCGACATGGGTTTCTGGGGACTTCTGGTCAGTTGAGGAGGAAACTCTGAGAAGGGGCATCCTCTGGACAGGACAGGTAGGTGCCACCCCAGGGGCTGAGGGCCAAGGCTTCCAGGACAGCCTCTTAGACTGCTGCCACCCACCCAAGGGTGCCAGGCCATGATCGATGTGCCTGCTGCAGGCAAGGTGAGCCACTCACCACAGAGCCCCCCTGTGTGGTCCCAGGCTTTGAAGCAGCCCGAGACGCTGGCTGTGCAGAGTGAGCACCAGGCGCCCTTCTTGTAGGGGACAATTGTCTTTCCATTTACCTCCCAGTTGCCTCTGTGAGAACAAATGGCAGCAGGGAGTCAGAGCTGAGAGAGACAGGAAGATTTGCTAGGAGAGAAAGACAGCCTCCAGACACACCCTGGGCAAAGTTCCTTAAAGCATGGCCACGCTTCCAGGAAGGGGCATCCAGGGATCAGCTTTGTTCTGCGTGGTCGGAATCTTCTGCATCTTCTCTCTCTGTCCTTCTCTGCCTGCTCCCAGCATGGGTGCAGACTGAAGAGAGTGAGGGTGGGTGTCTCACCCTGGGTGTCAGCATCCTTTCCTGCCCTCTCACCGCCCACATCTCCCAGGCTTACCCAGGGGAGTAGGCACAGACAAAGGCTTCCATCGCTGCCTGGCCCACAGAGCACGGATGTCGCCCGCAGCCCAGCTGGCTTGAGGTGGCCCACACGAGCTGCAGGAGACACAGTTGCTCAGAAACCCCATGAAGGACAACCCCCACTTCCATCTAGGAGCACTGGCAGTGCCTGCCTTGGTGGGGGCACACAGCCTTGGGCACGATCCAGGCGGACAGCTGGCTCTTCTACCTCCCCCACGGCCTTTGGGGCGGCAGCTGGGCAAGCCTTGCTGGGGAGGGCTGTAAGGGTGGTAAGCAGCAAAATCCACTCTGGGCTTTCTGAGTGGGGAGGGAGTAGATGGTGAGGATTAGGAGATCCATGGAGGTAGATCCATAGGGAGGAGGAGGAGAATGGCGAAAGAGTCTTGAAAATTATGGGCCTTGTGGTAGACCTCAAAAATAGCCATAGCCTTTTATTTCTTGCCCTAGTCCACTCTTGTAAATGTGATTTTGTGGCCACTTACAACAACTAATGAGGTCCTTTTTCCAATTCAATTGGCCCTATGACTTGTATTGGGTTACAGAATACAGCAGAAGGCTGGCAAGATAGCTCAGTGGTCTAAAGCACCTGCTTAGGCAAGTGAACAGGGACTGTAGTTTGATCCCTAGCACCACATGCAGCGCCAGCCCCACTCCCAGGATGGGCTGAGC